CATGAAGGAGCAGAGTTCCTCGCCTGGTTATTCCACTTGACTTGGCTGATTTAACTGATTTCACCTGATTTCACACAGAGGGACTTGGCTTTTTTCACTCTGAGGGCCTTTTCTCAGCTGTGGGGATGAATCCAAGAGCTTCCCCAGCAGCAGGTGGGCTGGGAGATAGATTTTTATTCCAGTGAAGGTGCAGACACAGTAAAAGGAATTTTTGGGTGATTCATTTATTGGGCATTTCCATGTTTTCCCGTGCCTGGTTTTTATTGTCTCCTGTGATGCTGCAGCTCCCAGGTGCTGCTCAAAAGAGAGCTTAGCAACTCAGGCACACACAGAAAGCAGCACTTGCACAAGGCACGAGGCAACGAAACATCTGCACTCCCTGTTTCCTTTAGTTCTTAACTGGAAATCTTCAGCTGGATCATCCTTTTCACTCCAGCTCGTTCACGCCGCTGTTAGAGGAGATGTGGGTGTAATTTATGCTCACATTTACGCTGCTGGGGTGGTTTAAAGTGGGAAGTGAGAATCAGCCCTTCGGTTTTTGGTGGTTTCTTTGTGTTCTAACAACAGATGCACAGCTGGATGCAGTAGCCTTTGACCAAGCCCTGGAGCATCTCCTCATTACTCTTAATTCACAGCAGTGCCCGGGAGACCTGTTGCGAATAAGTCACCGGAGGATAAAGAACAGCAGAGCTCTCAGAGCTGCTTTGTTCTTTTATTTGATAATTACGGTTTTGTTTTTCATTATTTAAGCTGGTTTAGTCTGTGTTGTGTCATCCTGGGTGTGTGTACTGTTATGGATGGGACAGCTCAGCTGGGGAGGGAGGGATTCCTGGATTCCTGCTCAGAGCACACTCGGATTTACTGATTTGCTTGTGTGACCTTTGGACACAGAAGGGGGTTGATAAATCTCTGCTGACAAGCGAGGAGGCAACACCACTTCAGGAGGCATCACCACTTGGAATTTGCAAATGCAAACCAGCAGCAATTAGGGAAGAGTGACTTTGTGTATTCCAGCTCTAGGAATTTATCTAAGGGAAGATGCATTTGGTGCAAGGTGTTGACGAGGAAGGTTATGTTTTTGCCAGGTTCCTGGAAAGCTCTTTTTAATAAATTGCTGATCTTTGGAGACCTGTAAAAAATACCATGGATTGCCTTTTATCAGCCTATAATGTGCTTTCATCACTCCAGAGAAGTATGTGAGAGTGATACCCAGTTGGTCCCTGGAGGAAGCAGAGGAGACACTGCTAAAGGCTCCAGATTTCTGGCATTGGAATGGAGCTTAAATTTCCTTGTTAGCACAAATATCCCTCTAACCTGATCACCAAAGTGCTGCTGCTCGTTTCTCACACACAGAATTACTCTGCTGTAATGCTACAAGTAATTTAACTCAGTATACTGAGTCAAAAACAACTCCTGTCTGAAATGTTATGATTTATTGCTTCTCGAGGCTCTTAAGATGGAAATGACTTTCCAGGCTTGGAGCCGTAAAACATCTAAATATTATACTCTGCATTTACTGAGAGGCAAAATCTATGTGGCGTTGATGGCATTGGGATAATAAAGATGAGATCTTGAATGGCCATTTTGCAAATGTTTTCTGAGAACAACATCAAAAAAGTAACCAGGTGTTGTAACCCTGCCTTAGAATCACAGAATGGTTTGGGTTGGAAGGGACCTTAAAGTTTATCCCATTCCAACCCCCTGCCATGGGCAGGGACACCTTCCACTAGACCAGGTTGCTGCAAACTCCCTCCATCCTGGCCTTGAACACTCCCAGGAATGAGGAGTCCACAACCTCGCTGGGCAACTTAACTCTGGGAAAACTTCTGAAGCAGTTTGCTCAGGAATTTGGATTTTTAAACTCTCACCTCCTTAATTCTCAAATCCTGTGCAACATGCACCGGTGCTTAAGGAATAAAATAAGATTAGACAATGATTTCTTAGTTTAATCTACCATTTGAAAAAAAAAATTGGTAACACTAGAGTTCTTAAATTGTTCCTCTGCTTTCATTACCAGGGATGAAATGCGATTGGTATGTGATGTGTAAACCTGTGGAATACCCACTTGGGCAGTGAGAGAATGAAGGTCACACAACTGTCACTGGAGTGGATTGAGTGCCAGGGAGTGGATTGAAATTAAAGGAGTGCTGGTTGCATTGTTGGTGGCACATGGACAGACACGCTCTCTGCTCCAGAGCAGGAGGAATGCAGCCTGTGCTTTTGCATTTCCACTTCCCACTGACACACTCCAGCCCTGTTCCATCCGTGCATCATTACCTTGGGCTGGTCCAACATTGTCCATCTGAGTGTGTTGTTTTCAGAGACTTCTAATGGTTGCATCTAGTTCCTGTGACACCTCACAGAATCATGGAATGCTTTGGTTGGGAAGGGACCTTAACTATCTTCTAGTTCCAAGCCCCTACCAGGGCAGGGACACCTTCCACTATTCCAGGTTGCTCCAAGCCCCATCCAAGCTGGCTTTGGACACTCCCAGGGATGGGGCAGCCACAGCTTCTCTGGGCAACCTGTGCCAGGGCCTCCCCACCCTCACAGGGAAGAATTTCTTCCTAATACCCATGTAACCCTGCCCTCTGCCACTTTGATACCATTCCCCCTTGTCCTGTCCCTCCAGACCTGTGTAAAAAAAACCACCCACCAGTGTTTTTACGGGTGGGGATCTGCCAGGATCTCCAGAGGGTTCCAGCTGAGCTCTGAGCAAGGCTGTGTGTTCCTCAGCTCCTGGAGCATCTCTGGGTTGGGCCCACAGCTGGTTAAGCAACTGCTGCTGGTTTAGAGGTGGCATTTTGCCCTGTAATCAGCAGACACATCCTCTTCTTCCTTCTCCCCAGGTCAGAGCTGGTTTTTGACAGCTCCCATGAAGCAACTGAGACCCTCTGTCTTGCTCTTCTCTATACAGGAAGGTCCATTGCAACCATCCATCTGCCAGCAAACCCTGTGCCTTGCCAGCCAACTCTGGGGCTCACCAATGTGCACCTACATTTTTATTTAACATTTTAGCTTCTATGGCCAAGTGGAGCTGAACTGGTGTTTGCCTCCAAGGCCAGTTTGTTCCCCTTCTCCTTCCAGTCACTACTTAACTGGCTCTAAAAACTGCTGACAGTTGTTTTAGGAGCTGGTTTTCGGGTCGGGCCTTTTGTAACTCTGCAGCAGGAGGAGGATATTGTTAGAAACCAGAGGAATGGAAGGGCTGCTGTTGCTCCAGGCAGGAGGAGAGGGTGCTTCACTGCTGGAGAATCATACTTTCACTTTGAAGTGCTTCTCCTGCTCCTTCTGTGAAGGCACTCAAAGCCCCTTTGGCAGCACTCCAGCTGCCAGGGTGAGGTGTGTTATTGGGAGCAGGGCAGGAAAACAGGAGGAGTTTGTAACAGAGGTCATAGAATCATAGACCAGAATGATTTGGGTTGGAAGGGACCTTAAAGCTCACTTTATTCCAACCCCCTGCCATGGGCAGGGACACCTTCCACTAGCCCAGGTTGCTCCAAGCTCCATCCAAGCTGGCCTTGGACACTTCCAGGGATCCAGGGGCAGCCACAGCTTCTCTGGGCAACCTGTGCCAGGGCCTCCCCACCCTCACAGGGAAGAATTCCTTCCTAATATCCCATCTAATCCCTGTCAGTTGGAAGCCATTCCCCCTTGTCCTGTCCTTCCATCCCTTGTCCCAAGTCCCTCTCCAGCCCTCCTGGAGCCCCTTTAGGCACTGGAAGGGGCTCTCAGGTCTCCCTGGATCCTTCTCTTCTCCAGGTGAGCACCCCCAACTCTCCCAGCCTGGCTCCAGAGCAGAGGGGCTCCAGGCCCCTGAAGTGACTTGTCACCTAGAAACCCAGTGTGCTGGGGGAGATAATGAATGGCAGAACTTTTGCCAGGTACTTTGGGAAAATAGCAAGGAGATTATAGAGGGGAGTATTCCCACAATGAACACGCTGTGGCAGGGATTTATTTTTTCCCACTGAGGTGTAAAAGCAGGAGGTGTGTGAGCGCTGATTACTGAGAGGAGCGAGTTTCAAACACTCCCCTAATTTAGCACCTCCTGAAATAGCTCCGAGCCCCTTAAATGAACGACATTGCTGAGAGTCTTTCTGTCTGAGCACACCGGGAAAGCAGTGGATTCTCCTGTTTGCAGGGAGACTGAAGAGCCTGAACAAAGGAGGGCATTACGTGCTCAGCAGCGAACAAAAATACCTCCCAGCCCACAAGGAGTAGCAGTGAATGGTGTGCTGGGAAAAGAGGGCAAGTGCTCCTGCTTTGTGGTCCCCAGCCCTGTCCTCAGGAGGTCACGTCAGGCGAAAGCTGCCGGTGCATGGAGGCAGCTCAGGTACAGCTTTTTAGAAGGGCACAGAGTGAAAAATGAGCAAGAAGAAGGATTAACTTGGCTCTGCCTGGCAAGCAGGACCAGAGCCCTCACTGGGGGGAGCACGGAGGAAGGTTGGGTTTAAATTTTGGCAACCACAGAAAGGTGAAGCAGCATCTGGCTTGTCTCTTTTGGCACTTTCAGATCAAACGCAGCGTGCCTGAGTGTGACCTCGTTCCTTATCCTGCACCACACGGGCTCTGTGTGTGTTCTGATGGGATCTTTCACCGCATCCCATGCAAAACTTGGTTGAATATTCCGAGATCCTGGACCGCTTCCATCCCTTGGCATCGTAGTGTTTCAGCAAGCACCAATTTTCTTGTTTTTCCCCCGTGCAATTGGAGAGCCGAAATCTGTGATGAATATATTAGTGTTCATTGAATTACAGAACAGACATTTAGCATTTTTCCTGAAGGATCCTAAAATGCTTTACAGGCGCTTTAATGTATCACCACCCAAATGCAGCCGCTTTTCATGCTTAGATTTAATTCAAGATGGAGGGAGAGAATTTGCTCTGTTATGTCACAGAATCACAGAACGGTTTGGGTTGGAAGGAACCCTAAAGCTCATCTCATTCCAAACCCCTGCTGTGGGCAGGGAACTTTCCACTAAACCAGGTTGCTCCAAGCCTCATCCAGCCTGGCCTTGAACACTTCCAGGGATATCCCAAAGTTTCTTTACAGGAGGACAGATTGTGAGTATTACAAAACAGAGGAGATGGCTACAAGTGCACCCAATCCCCCTCTTACATTGCTGCTGGCCTCAGGCTGAGAAGTGGCACCTCGTGTGATTTCTTTTATCCAGGATCCAGCTGCATCATTGGGATTTGGAGGTGCAAGACAAGATCCCTGGCTCTTTATGAACCAGCTGGATGCCCCATCGTGTGTTACTGGGAGTTTCCATCCTCCTTTTCTCCTGAAATGAAAAACCCTCCAAATATTCAGGATGAAAGCCAATAAATTAGTCATCTATTCTTAGACTCGTTAAGGCTCTGTAATTGGGTGTAGGCACTTCTTCCACTCTCCCAGCACTGTCTCACTCCTGAGCCAAGATTCATTTCCACAGGCAAGTGCTCCGCTCTCTTTCCTCACGGATAACGGGTGTGTGAAGAGTCCCTGTAGCTCATCTCTCCTGGAAAGCAGCTCCTACCTTCCTTCAACAACTCCCAGGGATGGCTTTGCTCACTGATGCTCCTGTTGCTCCAGCCCTGAGCAGGGATTGTTAATCAAAGCCACAACCAGCCTCTTGCAGGTCTTTTGTTTCCCAGACTGGTGTTCTGTGGTTTCCTCTTCCTCTGATTTTTTTCCTGTTTCCATTTGAAGGCTCCTGCTCCATCTTCCCCTTTCTTTAAGATTTATTTATGCATTTTTTTCCCTCTTTTGATCAAAACAATCTCCAGCCCCTGCCAGGATCGGGATCTCTCTGAGTGTTTTCAAATGCACAGCAAGACAGATTTGGTCCTAAAGAGACCTGACTTGTAATTTGCACTCAGTGGAAGTCCTTGAAATGCAAAAGCTGCCTACAGTGTTTGTACTGGATGTTAAATAGCCTGGACACCAGGCTGGAAAAGGTGAAACACCACTTTTAGAGGGCTGGAACAGCTGAAATCTCCCCCTGAGTCTACAATCATGGCAGTGTCCGAAGAACCTGGCACAGGTTGCCCAGAGAAGCTGTGGCTACCCCATCCCTGGAAATGTCCAAGGGCAGCTTGGGCAGGGCTTGGAGCAACCTGGGCTAGTGGAAAGTGTCCCTGCCCATGGCAGGAGAGTGGAACTGGATGATCTTTCAGGTCCCTTCCAACACAAACCATTCTGGGATTCTGTGGTTGGTAGCAGAGTGAACTCCTGACTGCAATTAAAAACCAAAATAACCTGAGGCAGAAGGACAAAATTCAAGTTTGTGGTACCCCAGGAGGTTTGAGATAACTCTTAAGTTTCCTGGTGGATACCATGATTCCTGCAGCCCAGATGGAATCACTACAGAGCTGTCAAGGAAAGAGGAGGGCATGAAGGAGCCAGAGGATAATGCTCCAGCATCTTGGAGATGCTCACCTTTGGAGGAGCCTTCAGGCAAACAATTCACTAATTTTTAGCATCAAATTTCTCTTATTTTGCAGGCTGCTGCATTTAGGGAAAGCTGCCATTGAGCAATTCCAGTTTTCTTCACAGCTCCCAAATTTTGTAAACACTGTCACTACAAAAGGCAGAACCATTGAAAGGACTCTTCCTAAAGTCACAATGTGGGAGTAAATTCACATTTAAGGTTTGGGTTCGTCTCATTTGGGCTGATCTTGTGCAAGTGTGAGACGGGGGGTCAGACCTTGATGGGGTGGTGCTTATTTATCACCTGAGAGCAGAAATACTCCTTAAATGTGATGTATCTGGGACATGGTGGCTTTCAAGAGGGGTTTAACCATTCACAGCCCTCCCTGAGCTTTTTTGGGGACAGTTTGGATACTTTCATGTAGCCAAAGAGCATTGTAAATATTAACATGCAGTTCCAACCCCTTAAGGAAGTGTTGCTTTGAGGCTGGAATTTGTGTGTTGGAGACAGATGGGTGAACTGCTGAAGATAATCAGGGGTCAGCCGGTTAAGCCTTATTTTTTGCACAGCCTTGTTGGGGTTACAGAGTGCTCTCCTAAAGAGCATTTACTGCATAATCTTGGGAGATGAGTGTAAGGGAGCCTTTGAAGGAATTAGGGAAATTCAACTGAGACTATTTTGCATTCAAGCCAGGAGAGAGCTGTACAGGAACCTGAACATGGAAGAGATCCTCTTCTGCTCCCCCAGTGATGTTGACCCTAAAAACACATTAAAAACTCCTTTTCCACCTGCCAGGCTGATCCCTGACTTCACTGTGGCCTGACAAAGTGGAGTTGCTGTGAAATGTGCTCCAGCTTTTGGGAGGGGGGAGTTAAGATCACTGTTTTTCCAGGAGAGTGATACAAAAATGCTGACACTGCTCATTTTTTGAAGGAAAAATCCGTGTGTCACAGCCTTGTGGGAACTAATGTGGTGTCAGAGTGAGCTGGGCAGAGATGAGTTTCCTCACAGTAAGAATCTGCATCAAAATGTGAAATGATGGAAGCTGGAGAAATCAGGCTGGAAAAACAGCTCTTTGGTGTTCCCCCAGCTAATGCCGGGATCGTGATCCTCGGAGTGTGGAGTGCAGTGTCCCAGCAGGGCAGCACTTACAGCCTGTCTGCCTGGAAGACCCTGTGGCATCTGTGACAGAACCACAGAGGTGCTGATTTGCTCCTTACCTCTGCTGGGGATAAGCAAATGGCACATTAATAGAGGCTTGGAGGAGTAGTTTGTGCTCTGGAGGGCTGCACTGAGGAAAATGTTCCCTTAGGAAAGGGTTTCAGGGTGTTTAGGTGTCAGATCAGGCTTAGGAGGAGTAACTTCAGCAGTGTGGACTATCCTGATCATGGGATAGCTGTGTGGAACTGTACAAGGGGAGGAATCATCTCCTGAAGAAAGCAAATGACAGGAAGGATTTAACTTTGCTTTCCTAGAAGTGATGCTGTTGCTCCCAGAGGAGCTGGGATGCAGGAAGAGATGTCCAGAACAGACCCCATGGCTCAGGGTGGAGCTGCACAGTTGTCCCCATCCCTGGATCCAGAACAAATCTGACGGTCCTGCTGCCATTTATTTTCCCATAAAAATGGAGCCATCTCCATGAAGACAGGCTGGGAGAGCTGGGGGTGTCCAACCTGGAGAACAGAAGGCTCCAGGGAGACCTTCCAGTACCTGAAGGGGCTCCATGGGAGCTGGAGAGGGATTTTGGACCAGAGATGGAGGGACAGAACAAGGGGGAATGGCTTCCCACTGCCAGAGGGCAGGGCTAGATGGGGTATTGGGAAGGAATTCTTGGCTGTGACATAATAACTGATGTGTTGGTGGCATTCCTAGATGTGTTTGCAGAGGATCCCTGTTTAATAGGACATCCAGAAGTAGGTGTGTTTCTCTGGATGTTCTTGGGATAGATCTCCTTATTCTGAATTCTCATAATATGAGTGACCAAAAAACCAGACAAACCCCAAGTGCTGGTTTGGTTTTACTGTTTGTTACCCTGAAATTCCTTGCTGGGATACTGGCCTGACCTCAGCAGTTGGACTTGATGATCCTAAAGGTCTTTCCCAACCTTAACAATTCTATGATTCCATGATTCTCTGTAATGCTTGTGAACTGGAGAAAAAAATCTGTTAAAATTGGCATGTTCAGTAGCCAGCAATATCCAAAAAGCCCTTTTGCTCCTCTCAGGTTACTTTTGTGTATCCAAAGAACCTGATTTGAGCCATGGATTTGATGCAGAAGATGCTGATATGCTGCTGGAGGTCCTTCACATTCCCATGCCTTGGCTTCCCCACACCTTTCCTCAAAAGCCTCTCTAACCCCCTGGAACACCCCTTGGCACAGGGTAGCCCTGCTGCTGGATCCCCCTCTGGAAGCTGCTCTAATATTAACCCTGAGCAGCTAATTTTGTCCTTTCTGAGTTTAATTTAGACTTTCACAGAGCTCTCCCTTGACCTCAGGAGTTCAGGGGAAGCTCTGTAGAGGAGTGGCTGTCTGTCTTCCCTGGCATGTGTTGTTCCCAAACCAGGTTTATCACCAGCCTTTCCCAGATTTCCATTAAAAGCACTGATGTCCTGGTGTGTAATATTCTGGATAAATCCAGCTGTATTAATGTCTTATCTGATTTCTCCTGTGACTTTCTTGCTACCCAGAAGAAAACCAGGGAATGACCTCCCTCTGATGTGAGTATTCTTGCCATGAGAGGGAAGAGGAGTGCGGATCATGCTTAAAATTTTCCTTTTGGAATACCAATCCAGGTTGATGGAATTGATTTGTTATTGCTCCCCAAGGCATAAACTTGTAGTGGAGGTGCTGGACATAAATAAATGCTTTAAGCAGTTTAGCTGGAAGTCTGGATCCTCACCAATCCCCCTTTTCCCTCCTCAGTCTCCATTCCTCTCTCCTGCCTGGCACCGTAATGACTCAGAGAGGTTTGTATCTATTTCCACGTGGCTGCCTTGGAGATCTTTTTCAGCCAACTTCCCTTTGGACTATCTACAAACATTAAAAGATGTTTGAAATTACTCAACCTCAACGGTGCTTGAAATCGAGCCACGTTCTGTTGTGTCAACACAGTGAGTGCTTCAAGTGCTGGTTGTGGAGGCACAAGAAAGGTTTCCAGCTCTGGTGCTGCCCACAAAGCTCCCTTATTAAGTGATGTTTCCCCACCTGGGAGCTTAAATGTGCTGCTCTGGTTGCTTGTTTGTCCATCTTCCTTTATTTTATTTGCATTCTGTGATCAATGAACAGCTTGAAACAGTCCCTTCAAGACCTACTGCAAGATTTCCAACCCCCTGCCATGGGCAAGGGCACTTTCCACTATCTCAGGTTGCTCCAAGCCCCATCCATCCTGGCCTTGGACACTTCCAGGGATCCAGGGGCAGCCACAGCTTCTCTGGGCAACCTGTGCCAGGGCCTCCCCACCCTCACAGGGAGGGATTTCTTCCCAGTATCCCATCTAACCTTAGCCAGGTTCAAGGCCAGGTTGGACAGGGCTTGGAGCAACCTGGGCTAGTGGAAGGTGTCCCTGCCCATGGAATGGGGGTTGGAACTGGATGAGCTTTAATGTCCCTTCCCACCCAAACCACTGTAAGATGTTTCTGTAGTCCTGCTGACTGATAGGCTGGTTCTGTCTGGGTCATGAGGACAGGTAAATTTACTCTCTTAATTTTGAAAATGATGCATTTCAGTGTGTACAACACAGTCCCTCTGCTTTTCCTGGCTCAGGATTTCTTTCCTTCACAGCTTTGATATTTTTTTAGTAAACGTCTGCTTACAGCCCACTATAATCTGATGTCTAAAGGCATCTTTTAAGTAAAAATGAGGCTTGAGTTTATTTTTCAGGTCAGGCAGTGGCTGAGTGCTCAGTGAGCTCTGCTGATGTTGGATCAGATGGTGA